TAAAATGTTTTTGGTCTGTGGGAAGAAACCGGAGTACCTGGAGAAAACCCACAAATGCACAGAGAGATCATGCAAATGCCATCCAGAAAGGCCCTCGGACTGGGATTTGAACCAGGGACCTGCTCGCTGAGAGGCAGCAGCTTTACCAGTTGCGCCATTGTGCTGCGTATATAACCCCAGTAAATATAAATAGATATAACAGAGATATACCCCATGTGTGCTCAAAATGTATAAAGCAGAGAGGTACATTAGTACAAACCGGATTCCAAAAAAGTTGGGACACTAAACAAATTGTGAATAAAAACTGAATGCAATGATGTGGAGATGGCAAATGTCAATATTTTATTTGTAATATAACATAGATGACAGACCAAAAGTTTAATCTGAGTAAATGTAACATTTTAAAGAAAAAATATGTTGATTCAAAATTTCAGTGTCAACAAATCCCCAAAAAGTTGGGACAAGTAGCAATAAGTGGCTGGAAAAAGGAAATTGAGCATATAACGAACAGCTGGAAGACCAATTAACACTAATTAGGTCAATTGACAACATGATTGGGTATAAAAAAGAGCTTCTCAGAGTGTCAGTGTCTCTCAGAAGCCAAGATGGTAAGAGGATCACCAATTCCACCATTGTTGCACAGAAAGATAGTGCAGCAATACCAGAATGGTGTTACCAGCGTAAAATAGCAAAGACTTTTAAGTTATCATCATCAACCGTGCATAACATCATCAAAAGATTCAGAGAATCTGGAACAATCGCTGTGCGTAAGGGTCAAGGCTGTAAAACTCTACTGGATGCTCATGATCTCGGGGCCCTTGAACGTCACTGCACCTCAAACAGGAATGCCACTGTCAAGGAAATAACAGAATGGGCTCAGGAATACTTCCAGAAAGCATTGTCAGTGAACAAAATCCACCGTGCCATCCGCCGTTGCCAGCTGAAACTCTACAGTGCAAAGAGGAAGCCATTTCTAAGCAAGCTCCCCGAGCTCAGACATTTGCACTGGGCCAGGGGTCATTTCAAATGGAGTGTGGCAAAATGGAAGACTGTTCTGTGGTCAGATGAGTCATGATTTGAAGTTCTTTATGGAACACTGGGACGCCATGTCATCCGGACCAGAGAGGACAAGGATAGCCCAAGTTGTTATCAACGCTCCGTTCAGAAGCCTGCATCACTGATGGTATGGGGTTGCATGAGCGCTTGTGGCATGGGCAGCTTGCATGTCTGGAAAGGCACCATTAATGCAGAGAACTATGTTCAGGTTCTAGAACAACATATGCTCCCATCTAGACGTCATCTCTTTCAGGGAAGACCCTGCATTTTTCAACGCGATAATGCCAGACCACATTCTGCAGCAATCACACACAACATCATGGCTACGTAGGAGAAGGATCCGGGTACTGAAATGGCCAGCCTGCAGTCCAGATCTTTCACCTATAGAGAACATTTGGTGCATCATAAAGAGGAAGGTGCCACAAAGAAGGCCCAAGACGATTGAACAGTTAGAGGCCTGTATTAGACATGAATGGGAGAGCATTCCTATTTCTAAACCTGAGAAACTGGTCTCCTCTGTCCCCAGACGTCTGTTGAGTGTTGTAAGAAGAAGGGGGGATGCCACACAGTGGTAAAAATGGACTTGACCCAACTTTTTTGGGATTTGTTGACGCCATGCAATTTGGAAACAACAGATTTTTCCTTTAAAATGATACATTCTCTCAGTTTAAACTTTTGATCTGTGATTTGTGTTCTATTCTGAATAAAATATTAGATGTTGGCACCTCCACATCATTGCATTCAGTTTTTATTCACAATTTGTTTAGTGTCCCAACTTTTTTGGAATCAGGTTTGTACATTGTATGTGGTATTGAGAAAAAAAAAACAATACTTTTTTGGAAAGAAATCAAAGTGATAATGGCAAAAAATATTAGTAAATGTATTATTATGGATCCCAAGTTTTTTTTGCTCAGACTCTACCCTGAGAGACAGAATTATACGAAGAGTGGATGGATTCTACTGGATATGAAGCTCTCGACCTTGACCTCTCTAAGTGGCTTTAAACATCTGTTAAGTTCCTGGTAAGAATCATTGCAGACATGTTCCTGTTATTAGTTTTTTACACCGCCTTATAATCTAGCTGTTTTTTGTTGTTGCTACTTTTCCTTTGACTGTCCTGTTGGTTGCTATTGTTTTGATTTATTAAAAGAAAAACAAAAAAAACAAAGAAATTCAAAATTGTATGCCTCTTTTATGACCGTCTATTGTTGTCCTTGTTATCCACTGTTTTCATCACTCTTTGTTAAGAAATCAGGTTTCTCTTATAAATGTAATATGTCTCTTAAGATGTCATCAAATTCTCTTAAGAGATCGTCTCTTTGGTATGCCCCCTCCTCCATCTACGATCTTATCACAAGCAGAACTGGTTTGTTCCACTTTGGAGTAAGCTGTTGGGGGAAGAATCAGTTTTGTTGTGTTTCCTTGACTGATGAAGTCTTCCGAACCGAAGGCGAAACGTTTCAGCACACAAAAAAAAAAGAAACAGTCCAGATGACATGACTGAAAAATGTTGGATTGTATACCTGGATTATTGAGCATGGACTTTGTTATTCTACCATGTTGTTGTTTACTATTTTTTCTTTAGGACCTTGTAAATATTGTATTTTTCACTTTTTGGTACTTTATGTTGTACCCTTATTGAATGCTTTTGTAGTTCTTGTTGGTTTGTTCATTGTTTTAGTGAGTCTAATCAGTTCTTCTCATCCTGAATATTTTATTGTACTGTTAACCTTGTGTTAACCTGCATATGACAAATAAACATAACCTGAATTAAGCATTAACCTTTAATTTAACCATTAAGCAATGGTTAATACAGTGTATATACAATGTAATTATGACAGAAAATGGAGAATTTACCTGCAGTTACTTTCATAGAGATGAACATGTGGTAGCTACTTCCTGTTTATAACTTGTGATCAGATAATGGGGTCAGTCCCTGGCTTTTTACGTGTTTTCCAAACTCCGCTTAATTTTTGAAAATGAATAAACTGTATCCCACCCTCTAAATGCTCAGGGTAACACGTGTCTAGATTGCCTGTTCTCCCCTGACACATTTAACCATTTTGTTCTGGTGATTTTTCACAAACCCCTCTAAGGTCGTTTTCACACCAGATAGTCCGGTAGACTCAGTTCGGTTCGGGAACAATATTCATGACCTATTGTTGCATTTGAGCTGGTGCGTTTGCATTCACACTGCACTGTGCAGTCAAACCAACCTGTTGAACCAACCTATTCCCCCGCTCGCCTGTGGGGCGCTGCACCAAGAACTACTGAAAGAAACGACACAAAAACCTCTGAAGACACGTCTTCTTCTTCTGGAAATAAAAACAAAAACGAAGTGGCATCAAGTTTTAGCAGTTTTAGGAGTTATATTTAGTCATTTTTCAAAAATGGACAGTATGAGCAGAAGATGAGACAAAAGACCATGGAGAATATTGTTTTTCCACACAAGGCAGCTGACGGCTCCATATAAGAGAAATGCGTGTTTGTTTGTCCTGCGGAGCGGGGCCCGGTCTGTTTACATTCACACTGTACTCAAACCGCGCTGGAGTTCTCTTCTACCGGACCGAGACCTAGGTTTTAGCCCGGGCCAGAGTTTGCCTTTTTGTTCCGTGACAGAGTTCTATGGCGCGTTCACACCTCTCTAAACGAACTGGACTTTCTAGGAAAACGAGCTAGAATTTGATTAAAGCGGACTAAACAGGGCTAGTGTGAATGCACCCTAACTGTAAAGTGTCCAGGCTGCAGCCTCAGGTAAGGGGCGTTTACCTTTGGGACAATTTGAGGTTACCAATTGGTCATTTACTGACACGCCTACTGGATTGATTGACAGGTCGTACAGAGGAGCTGACTTGCGGAAAATAGAAAGAAAAAAAAAGCGAGAGCTGCAGCCGGCCCTGCGGTAGAGACAGGGCATCCCAGGAGCAGTGGTAGCATGTTCTGTGTTAATATGTTAACAAAAAGTTCTAAAAAAAAAAGAATAGTGAGCGCCAGCCCTGCAGCCCACAAATCAGACTAGCCCACGAGGAAATCTCCAGACCCTTCCGATTGGCCACTCCGGGCCTTGAGCAGCCCCCGGGGAAGACACACGACACTCTGGAGAGACTATGTCTCTCGGTTGGCCTGGGAATGCCTTGTGGTCCTCCCAGAAGAGCTAGAAGAAATGGCTGTGGAAAGAGATGTCTGGGCCTCCCTGTTCAAGCTGCTGCCCCCGTGACCTGACTTTGGAACAAGCGGTAGATAATGGACGGATGGATGGATTCCTATGTTATCGGCTTTTAAAGAAGACAGCGGCAGCAGTTTTGGCCATGGCAAATCTGCTGACCACGTGTGAAGGTTTGGTTCGTGCTTCAAGCACTCAAAATCAGCTGATTTACAAGCTAAACCATAAAATGGAAGTGATTTGTGAGAATCGCAGGCCACTTGCAGCTTCTGGGACTCACCAGCATGTTGGGGATGACCTTGGAGGGAGCTAATAAGCATGGACCAGTGGAAATGCCCACAAATCTGTCCATTTTGGATTGGAAGTAAAAGCAGAACTCAAGGCTGACTAGAAATAACAGTCTGCCTGAAAAAATCAACAGTAAGAAACTGAACATCAAGAGGAGCCTTTTACTAATGCTGTTCCCTACTCTCCAGGATTCTAGTCTAGGTCTACAGATCCTATACGGTGTTCATTATTATTCACTTCTGTAAATAAACACTGTTAAACCTTTTCCTCGCCCTGAAGTCGTTGTTGTAAGTCTCATACTATCTGGTTATAGAGCCAAACCTTACAAAAGGCACATGGAAGCAGATGATCCTCAGTGGAGAGCAGCTGGAAACAGAAAAAGCCATGACTCCTATTTTTCTGCAGATGACTTCAATGAATTATGATGTTTTAAGGGTTTAGACTGAACTGTGTTTCAGTGTGTCTGAACTGCTCATCTGTGATTGGTCCACAGCATTACCTGACGTGTTTCAGTGGTACTGTTGCTGTACCTTTTCTTCTGGCTGAAGCCATGTGTGTTGGGAGAGACCAAAACACTGTAAGTCAGCTGATTGGAACCATCTTCACCACAGTTGGAATCACAACCCTGATCCAGACCACTGTGGGGGTCAGGTGAGTCAAAGCACATTGGGTCAACCAGAACGAGTTAGGTAAGAGTGACATATGTAATGGGGTTTCCAGACTTCCTCTGTTCCAGGCCAGTGCATTTGCATTCCTTATTCCTGCCCAGGCAATCCTCAGTCTGGACCGCTGGAGATGTCCCACTGAAGGTTTGTTTGTTTGTTTTTGGTGAATTCTTTTTTTAATAAATAAATGTTTTTAATCTAGTAATTTATTTTTCACTTGCAGAGGAAATTTATGGAAACTGGAGTCTTCCCTTGAACACCTCTCACATTTGGCAGCCTCGTATCAGAGAGGTATACCCATGGTGGGGGCTCAGACTTGAAACTAAACTCGGGATGTTTTCAGGTTTTGAACAGCTGATTGAAATCCAGCTGTCAGGAGGGTGAACCTGATTCTGGACTGATGTGGATTTTGGTCTGGTCCTAGAGGAGTGGACCTCAAACCAAGCAACAGTTTTTACCTGAGATCCTGACCTTAAACTCTGGATGTGAATATTAGTCCCTATTTACATGGCCTCCATGGGGGGAAACATAGGATTTTTCATATGTTAATTAGAGGAAAAGATCCGCGTTGACACGGTCGGATTTTGGGTTTACATGCATCCAGAGCATTCCCCCCCACCCTCCCGAATCTGCTGTAGTTACCATGCCAGGTCATTAGATGGCGCTGTGAATTTTGTACCTTCACCTAATGCGCATGCGTGCTGCCTTGGCACGTTGTTTTCCTCTGGGCTAAAAGCTCAGCTAACAACAACTTAACAACAAGTTAAAGCTGGATTCTGGCTGGATTCTGGATAAGAGTCGACAGATTTGACGCCAAGCGGGACCGCTTCGTCTAACAGCTCCACACCGGTCGCTGAGTGGACCAGAACCGAGTCGACGATGTTGGGACTTTATTCCGTGATAATCAGTAGCTGATTTACAGCAGGTAAATCAAATGTTCTTAATAATGTTTGCTTGTGTTTACTTCGGTTACAAAACAACCAACTGAGTTTTTATTTTTTCCTGAAAGAAGAAGAAGAAGCTGTCTCCCACCAGGCGGACCGGTTCTGAACGAGGCTCGGCCCACGTGCAGTGCAGGAGGACGTCGAAGAGAGAGATGTTGGATGAACTATTTATTTAAAATTCCCCTCAGTTCTTTTATTCAATCCATTGAATGTTTTAATCTGCATTAATCAAAGGAGTGACAGCCTGAATGAGCCAGATGAACAACGTGGGACATACAGGATGAAAACAAGAGTCCAGTTCATTAATGCAGTTTACAGTTAACTTGTTTTTAATAGTGAGTTCAGTTTAATTATCAGTGTTTGTGTGACATACAGTTTGTGGTGTTGAATAAATAAATAAAATAAAAATTAAACCTGATGTCTTCATTTTCAACTTTAATAACACGCAATATGTTTAGCATCATTTTAATCACATAATTTGAATTACATAATGTCCAGATAGCTTCATTATATATCTCACATTAACATAAATACTGTTTATTATTGTTAAACTTGTTATTTAGCACATTTAGTATGTTATAGTGCAGCGCGACGTGTGCACGTGCCTAGTTCTATAAACAGTGACATTAGAACTGGATCAGATTGTGTCTCTTCCAACACAGATGTCGGTCACAGCAGCTGGAATCTGACGTAGATTAACTACGAGATTAAAAATATATTCCATCAGTCGAGGTTCTGAAAGCAGTGTGTCGCCGCCATGTTGATAGAAATATGCCGTCGGTCCGCGCTTGCGTGTGCGCACGTGGTTTAACACAAAGCCTCAGTGGGAGATGTTTAAATCATCAGCAGGGAATCAGAGAAAAACCTCCACTCTGGAAGGTGGATTCAGAAACATCTGGATTCAAAGAGGGGGGCCACTGGTGTTGTGTAAATGATCAGCAGAACCGCAGAGAGAAAGCTGCGGATGCACTCAAAATACGCGCCGTGTAAACGGCCCCTTAGTGATGATGGGGGTGTTTCAGGCTGTGTTTGTGCATGGACAAAGGGTGGTGGGATGCCATGAGAGGGTCTGTTTGTTTTGAATCGCTTGTTTATATTCGTTGTTTATTGTTTGTGTCAGATTCAGGGGGCCATCATCATGTCCAGCCTGGTGGAGGTTCTGATTGGTCTGAGTGGATTACCTGGTCTGCTGCTAGAATACATTGGACCTCTTACCATCACTCCAACTGTCTCACTGATCGGTCTGTCTGTGTTCACCACAGCTGGGGACAGAGCCGGGTCCCACTGGGGCCTGTCAGCACTGTAGGACTCCTGTTCACCTGTCTCACACACCTGTCTGTTACATCTGTCTCACACACCTGTCTCTGTTCACCTGTCTATCACACCTGTTGTGCTGTTAGATGTTCTTGTAGATGTTCTCTATTTTTTTTTTTTTTTTTGGCAGATTTCTGTTGGGGTGTTAGATTTCCTGTTAAATGTTGTTGTTTTGTTACATATTCTGTCAGGTGTTCTTTTAGATATTCTTATTTCTGTTGGAGTGGCTATGGCTGAGTGGTTAAAGCAGTCGTCTTCCAGTGGGAGAGTTGGGGGTTCGATTCCACCAGCAGTCACATGTTGAAGTGTTCCTGGGCAAGACACTGAACCCCTAATTGCTTCTGATGTGTGTCCCATTGGTGTATGAATGTGATAAAGCTCCAATTAGTCTTTGTAGAGATCTAGTAGAGTGCTGTATGGCTGGGTAAATGAGGCACATATTGTGTTGTAAAGAGCTTTGAATGTCTCATTAAGATAGAAAGTTGTTATATAAATACAGTCCATTTACCATTTGTTCTGTTAGATGTTTTGTTCTGTGTATTCAGGTGAGTTTCAGTTATTTGTTGTTACATTATGTGGACTGAAACAGTTTGATGGAGGTTAGAACTTTTGCCCTGGGGCTCAGAAGTGTGCAGATTTTTAAAAACATTTGAACAATTGTTTTCCTTCATTCTGACGTGTCATGTGGTCGAACCTGGAAGACACAACCTTTTCATGTGTTGAAACCAAACTATGATGGACGTCCTTTTCCATGCAGAACTTAACATCTATCAGAATCAGAATAAGCTTTATTATTATTATTGCACCGAGATACAACGAGAATATGTACGTACAGTCGTCCAAAAGATGGACGGAGTGCACGAAGCTGCTGCTATAAAGCGCGGCCGTCTTATTCTTTTCAGAATACATTTTTTTAGATAGAAAAAGGGACAAAACCATGATGAAAGGATAGTGGCATTACAAAAAAATTATCTTCACACCTTGTCCTAACAGGACACGATTTAAGACATCAAAAAACGCTGCCAGCAGCACATTTATAAACACGTCGCATGTGAATTTATAACAAGGCGGTCAATGAAGCACTAACAGATAGTCCATTGTCCTGATAAAATTATGGTCAGCTGGCACAGTTCTGATAAGCCTCCACACAAAAAAAAAGGGGGGGGGGGTGCGATAGACAAAGCTTTTCCTTAGTTTACAAATTTCCCAGGAGAAATTGAGAAGTCAGCCTGTTTCGAGGCCAGCCGGGGAGACAGATTCAGATAAGCCACAATTGTTGATTTATTCAGGCAGATTATTTTTTATTGTCAGCCTTGAGTCTGTACTGATACTTCCAAGGTCCAAAATGGCCAGATTAGGGTGCATTCTTCTGGTCCGTGCTTACAAGCCTCTTCAAGATGATTTCCATGCTGACGAGTCCCAAAGCCACAGGTGGCCTACAATTCAAATCACTTCCATCTTACAGTTTAGCTCGTAAATCAGCTGATTTTGAGCCATCCAGCTTGCTTCTCCAGTATTTCTGAATAGACCTTACCAGGGAGGCTAAGGAGAGTGATGCCCCTATAATTGGAGCACACCTTCCAGTCTCCCTTTTTATAGATGGGAACCACTACTCCAATCTGCCAATCCTGTGGCACTGTCCCCAATGTCCACGAGATGTTGCAAAGGCATGTCAACCAAGACAGTCCCACAACATCCACAGCCTTAAGGAAATCAGAGTTAATCTCATCCAACTCCGGAGCTCTGCCTCCATGGAGTTTTTTAATTACCTTGACGACCTCAGCCACCGTTATGGACAGACCAACACCAAAGTCCCCTGGTTCTGCTTCCTCCATGGAAGATATGCCAGTGGGATTGAGAAGGTTCGAGAAGTATTTCTTCCACCTCCCAACAACATCACTGGTTGAGGTCAACAGTACTCCACTTTCACTGAACAAAGTGTTAGTAAAGTGCTGCTTTCCCCTCTTCAGCCACCTGATGGTTTGCCAGAATCTCCTCAGAGATGTATGATTGTCGTTTTCCAGGGTTTCACCGAACTCCTCCCACATCCGATCTTTTGCCTCAGCAACAGCCAAGGCTGTGGACCGCTTGGCCCTTCAGTACTCCTCAGCTGCCTTCAGAGTCCCACCAGCCAACAAGGACGATAGGACTCCTTCTTCAGCTTGTCAGCCTCCCTTAAGCCTCCTCAAGGAATCATCAAGGCAGCCATTTCAACAGATGAGTCACAGAACATGGCCCACTCTGACTCAATGTTACCTGCCTCAGCTGAGCTGAACTCCCGTAGGTGTGAGTTGAAGATCTCTCTGATGTGTTCTTCTTCCAGGCATTCCCAACAAACCCTCACTACACATTTGGGTCTACTGGGTCTGTTTGGCATCTTCCCCCACCTAGGGCATATGTGTCAAACTAGAGGCCCAGGGGCCAAATGTGGCCCTCGTTGACATCTTATCTGGGCCTCCAAGATGAAATGTAAAATACTTCTATCTCTTGATTTTTTAAAATAAATATTTGATTATGATGTTGAAAGCACAACAGAGAACATCAAATGAGACCAATCAAACTCTTGTTGAGGAACCTGTGACCAAGAAAATACGTTGGGGATCTGATTTGAGTTAATGTAGGTTCTAAAATCGGCCCTTAGTTTGAAAAAGGTTTTAATTTTGGTCCCCTTTTCTAATCGAGTTTGACACCCCTGACCTAAGGGTGACAGGGGGTGGCTGTGGCTGAGGGGTTAGAGCAGTCATCCTCCAATGCGAGAGTTGGGGGTTCGAATCCACCAGCAGTCACATGTTGAAGTGTCCCTGGGCAAGACACTGAATCCCTCATAGCCTCTGATGTGTGTCCCATCAGTGTATGAATGTGATCTAAAGCACTGATTAGTCTCTTTAGAAGGCTTTGTTCAATTAGCTTTGTAGTGATCTAGTAGAGTGCTGTATGAACGGGTAAAGGAGGGCACAGATTGTAGTGTAAAGCGCTTTGAGTGCCTTGAAATAAGATAGAAAGGTGCTATACAGTCCGTTTACCATTTACCATTTGACATTTACCTAGGGCATCCTGGTGTCAAGTGCACATATGAACACCCTTATGTTTGAAAATGGTGTTGGTGATGGACAAACTATGACTAGCATAGAAGTCCAACAAAAGAACACCACTCGGGTTCAGATCAGAGAGGCTGTTCCTCCCAATCACGCCCCTCCAAGTCACACTGTCGTTACCCACATGGGCAAGTCCCACAGCAGAATAAAGGAGTCCCCAGCTGGTGCACCTTCTAGCATCACTACCAAGGATGCTAAGGACTCCCAGAAAGCCAGATAATCTGAACTGCCGTTCGGCACATTGGCACAAACAAGAGTCAGAGCCCTTCCCCCCCCACCTGAAGGCGAAGGGAAGCCATATTCTCATCTACCAGGGAAAACTCCAAAACACAGGCACCAAGTGTGTGTGTGTGTGGGGGGGAGGGGGGGGGGGCTAAGAGTATACCCACACCAGCTTGGCACCTCTCACCATGGGCAACTACAGATGGGAATAAGGTCCAGCCCTTTTCAATGAGGTCGGTTCCAATCTGTGCATTGAGGTGAGCCCAACTATATCTAATCGGTACCTCTCAACCTCACGTACAAGCTCAGGCTCCTTCCCCACCAGAGAGGTCACGTTCTATGTCCCAAGAGCCAGCTCTGGTAAACCACAGTCAAAGTGCCATGGTTCCCGCCTTCGGCCACTGCCCATGGATTTATGCACCTGACTCATATGACCCCTCCTGCAGGTGGTGGACCCACAGAAAGGCAAATCCATGTTGCTCATTCAGGCTGAGCCTAACTGAGCCCCATGGGTAGAGACCCGGTCAACAGGTGCTTGCCAATGAGCCCCTCCCCCAGGCCTGGGTCCAGGATGGGGCCCCAGTAACCCATGTCTGGACAAAGGATGACAAGTTCCTTGTTTTATTTTGTCCATACAAGACTTCTGAATAACTCTTTGTCTAGCTTTTCACCTAGAACCAATCTGCCTTGGTAGACCCTACCAGGGGCAATTAAAAATGCCCCAGACAGCATAGCTCCTAGGATCATTCAGGCACACAAACTCTTCCACCACAATAAGGTGGCAATTTGAGGAGGAGGGAATACAATGCAAGTCTTCAAAAAAAAAAATCACAATTTAAGACGCTTAAACATTAAAGGTGCAAGATGTGACTAAAACCTCAGTTTTTGTTTCATACTAGGTAAAGAAATAAAAGGCTACAACCTCAACTTAAGTTGCAGATCATTCCAGGATCAATTCAATTCAATTCAATTCCATTCAGTTTATTTATATAGCACCAAATCACAACAAAGTTGTCTCAGGGCACTTTACAGAAACATTCACATACATAAAAGAAAATTAGTAAAGTTCTCTATCTAAGGAATCCAGCAGACAAGTTGAATCTTGGCTTCGTCTCAGTCTCCCATCCTGAGCAAGCACAGTGGCAACAGTGGAAAGGAAAAACTCCCTTTTAAAAGGAAGAAACCTCCAGCAGAACCAGGCTCAGGACAAGCGGCCATCTGCTTTGACTGGCTGGTTGAGAGGACAGGAAGGAGAGACAGACGAACACAGAATGGTAGGTCCAGGTATAGGTCCAGGTGTATCTGAAAGACAAAAAAACACATTTTAAGGATCATTGGCTGAAACAGGACAAACTGATCTTTCCTGACTTTGTGCACACAAAAGATACCTTAAACTGCAGCCTGGCCCTGAGACTGTGTGTGTTGTGTAGTGAAATGAACTGGAGTTTATGTATGATGGTAATTTTCCTAAAATGGCTTTGCATATGAAAATATACCAATGCTTTATCCTTAGAATATTGAGTGAAGTAAGTCCAGCAAGGGTATATGAAAGAAGAGTCCTAAAGGGTGAACCTGTTGTATACCTCAGAGCATGTAAATGGGCTCCAGGTTAGCTAAGGTAGTGGGAGAGGCAAATCTATAGATTGTGTCTCTTTAGTCAATCTGTGATAAAAATAAACTTGTTACAAGCTGCTTACGGAAAGAAATAGAAAAACATAATTTCAGTCTAAACAAGAGTAAATTTTAGCCTTTTTATTAGATAATGTAATGTGATGTTAAAAATTATCATCTTTATCCAGCCAAATATTAAGATATTTGTATGTGTCTACAAGCTCTATGATATCACCATTCAGTGTTTTATTAGAAGAAATGGTTACCAAACACACCACAAAAGAGCACAAGCCAGTGCACCTCTTGTGCCAGTCCCAAGACCGTGTAAATGGTGAGTGTTGTGTCAGGAAGGGAATCTGATGTAAAAGACTTTTGCCAAAACTATAATGCAAGTTCATCAAAGCACAACCATACTGGATTGGTCAAGGTCCGAGTTAACAACGATCTACACCATTGCGATTGACAAACAGGGTGCCGGCAGAAATTGTGCTACTGTTGGTTGAAGAACACAAGGAAGGAAATGTGTCAGGAGACTGAGGGACAAGAGGAAAGTCAAGAATGTAGGACTGAGGGTTGCAAATCTAAATGTGGGGACAATTACAGGTAAAGGTAGAGAGCTGGCTGACATGATGCAGAGAAGGAAGGTAGATATTTTATGTGTCCAAGAGACCAAGTGGAAGGGCAGCAAGGCTCGCAGCATTTGAGCAGGGTTCAAACTGTTTTACCATGGTGTGGATAGAAAGAGAAATGGAGTAGGGGTGATCCTGAAGGAGAAGTTGGCAAAGAATGTAATAAAGATGAAAAGAGTGTCAGATAGGGTGATGTGCCTTCTACTTCTACCTTCAGGTAGAAGTAGAAAGTCTGATGCTAAATGCTGTCAGTGGTTATGCTCTATTTCTCCTCCTCCTTTTTCATTCTCCTCCCCATTACATCCAACATTGGATAGATGTAAAGATGCATTTTGGAAAGATCTGGATGAAGTGATAGAGTATTCCCAGGGAGGAGAGAGTGGTGATCAGAGCAGACCTCAATGAACATGTTGGTGAAGGAAACAGAGGATGAGGAAGTGATGGGTAGGTTTGGTATCATGGACAGATGGGGCTGGATTTTTCCAAGAGAATGGAAATAGCTGTAGTCAACACTTATTTCCAAAAGAGGGAGAACATAGAGTGACCTATAAGACTGGAGGAAGGAGTACACAGGTCGACTACATTCTGTGTAGAAGAGGAAACCTGAGGGAGATTGGAGACTGTAAGGTTGTGGCAGGGGAGAGCATGGCCAGACAGCATCGGATGGTTGTGTGTAAAATGACTGTTGTTGTGAAGAAGAGAAAAAGAGTAAAATCAGAGAAGAAGACCAAATGGTGGAAGATGAAGAAGGAAGAATCCAAAAAAGTTAAATCTGGTCCTCTGGACATTCAAAAAAACAAAAAACAAACCAAAGCAAAAAAAAAATAGAAACATTTTGTCTCTCATCCGAGAGACTTCTTCAGTCTGAGGTGCTGTATTCAGCTCAGTCTCTTAAATAGCACCTTCTCAGAGTGGATCAACCAGTTTGCTGCTGACAACCAAAACCAGCTGCTCACATGGTCAAGAAGGACCATCAGCCTAACAATGGATAATTAGAACAATGATGGCTGTTTACTATTCACAGGGGGTTGAGTGATACTAGCAATAACAGCATTGTAAGAGGGGGACAGTTGAACCCAGAGGCCTCCACCCGTTTAATGATGGACGATTTCTTTTCATAAAGATTCAAAAAGTGTTCAATACAAAAAGATATTTTTTCACAAATCTTTTCACAAAGATGGCCTCCTTTACTCCTCTCTCAAACCATCGTTCCTCTCTGTCCAGGATGTGAACATCTTCATCCATGAAAGAGTGACCGCTGGCCTGGAGATGAGTGTAGACCGCAAAATCCTGGCCTGATGATGTTGATCTTCTGTGCTGGGCCATCCTTTTGGCCAGTGGCTGTTTAGTTTCCCCAATGTAAGACTGATCACAGCCCTCCTGACACTGAACAGCATACACAATATTACTCTGTTTGTGCCGAGGGACTGGATCTTTGGGATGAACCAGTCTTTGCCGTAATGTATTTTGGGGTTTAAAAGCCACTGAGACATTATGTTTAGAAAATAAACGTCTCAGTTTCTCTGATACTCCCTCAACATACGGAATGACCACTGGTCTGGGTCTGGGTTCCTCCTTTTCACCTGGTGGCTGACTGGAGTCCTGTTTGGGTTTCTTCTCTGCTTTCAGGAAGGCCCAGTTAGGATATCCACATTGCTCTAGAGCCTGTATTATGTAGGATTTCTCCTTCTGCCTGGCTCCTGAGTTAGTGGGGATGCTGTCTGCTCTGTGATACAGAGTCCTGATGACTCCTAACTTGTGCTCCAAAGGGTGATGGGAGTCAAACTGCAAACACTGGTCTGTGTGGGTGGGTTTGTGGTACACCTCGGTTTGCAAATGTCCTCTATCAGAGACTGAGACCTCACAGTCCAAGAAAGCTAACCTGCCATTTTTTACATCTTCTCGTGTGAACTTGATGTATGTATCCACAGAGTTGATGTGGTCAGTAAAATGTTGGACTTCCTGAGATTTAATTTTAACCCAGGTGTCGTCAACATACCTGAACCAATGACTTGGTGGTGTCCCTGAAAAGGACGTCAAGGCTCTGTTTTCTACCTCCTCCATGTACAGGTTGGCAACAATAGGAGAAACTGGAGACCCCATAGCACACCCATGTTTCTGCCTATAATATTGCTCCCCATATGTGAAGTAGGTTGACTGCAGGCACAGTTTCAAGAGTTGACACAGTTGTTCTGTGGAAAGTGTGTGTAAGGATGGTACCATTTGGTGGCTCTGTTTCTGTCTGTGTTTCCTTAGTGTTTCCTCTTCAGTTTAATTGGTTCCACCCTTGTCTCGTCACAGCTGTTTGTAATCACGTCTCGTCTTTTCCCTGTATATAAGCCGTCTGTTCTGTCTTGTTCCTTGTCGGGTCGTTTTCGTTGGGTCTCTGTGTTCTCCTGCGTTCTCCTGAGTCTCCCCTGAGCTTCCTGAGTCCCTTCTGAGTTTCCCTCCTGGGCCTTCTATCGCTGTAAGTTTTGCTGCCACGTCAGCTTATTATTTTGTTCTTTAATCATCATTAAAAATATTTATTTTTGTAATCTGCCGAGTTGAGTCCTGTCTGCACAACTGGGTTCGTCCCTGACCACCAAATCCTGACAGTGTGGTCCTGCTACTCAGAGTGGTGTCTGATTTTAGTCTTAAACTGACCACCTCTAATGCATCATCAACAAGAATGCATGTAAAGAGTGATGTGACATCAAAAGAGACCATTGTTTCATCAGTCTCCATGATGACATCCCTCACCTTATCCACAAAGTCCACAAACTTTGTGAAAAGAAATCATCCATCATTAAACAGGGGTGGAGGCCTCCTGGTTCAACTGTCCCCCTCTTACAATACTGTTATTGCTAGTATCACTCTACCCCATGTGAATAGTAAACAGCCATCAGTGTGCTAATTTTATTTCTAAAGCTCCGAGTCACAACAGAAGTCATCCCAGGGACTGAACAGAAACATTCATATATAAAATAATAATTTAACATTATTTACCTGAGGAGCAGACTGCTTTGAGTTTAACTCCATCACTGAACTCTCATCTTGAACAAGCGTGAAGGCGACAGTGGAAAGGAAAAACTCCCACATGAGGAAGAAACCTTTAGCAGAACCAGGCTCAGGACAAGCGGCCATCTGCTTCGACCGGCTGGGTTTGGTAGGAACAGATACACAATGACAGGTCAAGGATCACGAGTTAAGATAGAAATAGTATCAAATGAAAACTATTCAATTTTAGGGTTATTCACTTTATTTAAGGAAATTAGATCAATTTGTCCTCTAGTAGTCTAAGGCTATAGCAGCATAACAAGCCAACCCTAACTATAGGATTTATCATAAAGGAAAGTCTTAAGCCCAGTCTTAAAACTGGACAATGTGTCAGCCTCATGGACAAAAACTGGAAGTTCGTTCCACAAGAGAGGAGCCTGAGAACTGAAAGATCTTCCTTCCATTCTGCTGCTGGAAACTCTAGGAACCATGAGTAAACCTGCAGTCTGAGAGTGAAGTGCTCTGTTAGGAAAATATCAGGCAGGGTCCAATGCTGACATGTTCCTGTTTTTAGTTTTCTACATTTGTCTTGGAATCTAGCTGTTTTTTGTTTTGTTACCTTTTCCTTTTAGCCATCCTATTTGTTAAAAAAACAAACAAAAAAAAAAAAAACTGTAGTATGCTTTTTTATAACTGTTTATTGTTGTCGCTGTTGTCCATTGTTGTCATCTTTCTTTGTTGAAATCAGGTCTCTCTTGTAAATGAGTCCTCGAGGCTCAATGGGATTTACCTGTATAAATAAAGGTTGATTGATTGAATATGGAGCAATAAGATCTGTAATATAAGATGGAACTAGATTGTTGATAGGACTACACTACACCTGAACGCATTTTTTTTTTTTACTGTGATGGTCCACAGACAAACTGCTCAAATCCATCTCTTTGCAGGTGCATGTTGCTGATTGTGCTATTTGCTCAGTATCTGAGGACAACATCACTTCCTGTTCCTGTTTACAGCAAAAGAAAAGGACTGACATTCAGCAGAGTTCAAATCTTCAAAATGTTTCCTGTAAATAAGAAACAACACACGGTCCTTGCAAGTGCTGATGTTATGATGATGTCATGATGATGTAATTCTCTGACTCATCTCCTAGATCATCCTTGCCATCATGTTAGTTTGGCTCATCTGTTATGTCCTCACTTTGACCAACCTGCTCCCAAAGGACCCAGATCATTACGGACACAAGGGCCGGACTGATGCCCGTGGCGACATCATGACATCATCGCCCTGGTTTAGGGTGGCCTACCCTTGTAAGATGCCAGTCAAGCAGATGCACTGACAGTTCTGAATGGATCACCATGGTTCTGATGAGGTGGTGTTGGTCTCTGGCAGGTCAGTGGGGGTTGCCCGTGGTAACTGTTGCTGGGGTGTTGGGGATGCTGAGTGCCACCATGGCAGGGATTGTTGAGTCCATTGGAGATTATTATGCCTGCGCTCGTCTGTCAGGCGCCACAATACCACCAATCCACGCCATCAACAGGTGAGACAAGAAGTCACAGAACCTGGTGGGCCCTGCTCTACATGGCTTAGATGTCCATGTTTGCTGCTTTTTGTTTCAGGGGGATCTTTATTGAGGGGGTCTGCTGCATCATTGCTGGATTGTTAGGAACAGGAAATGGCTCCACCTCCTCCAGTCCAAACATCGGAGTTCTGGGCATCACCAAGGTACCTGAGTCCATTTTAAGGTTATGTTGAGGGTTGAGGCAAAGTCAACCCTGCAGGTCAACTTTACTACCAGAAAAGTAATGAACACATGTACAACTGTGTGCAAGGCAGTGTTCCAGTTGTTCACACTGTGTCCAGGTAGGAAGCAGGCAGGTTAAGGAATGTGTTTGATTTGTTGACCCTATGTGCAGGTAGGAAGCAGGCGGGTGGTACAATATGGAGCTGGTATCATGTTCCTCTTAGGTTCTGTTGGAAAGTTCACAGCCCTGTTTGCATCTCTTCCGGATCCAATCCTGGGAGGAATGTTCTGCACATTGTTTGGTGAGCGTCAGGTAATGTTTCCTGACACAGGTGCATTGATCATGTCATCTTAATGCAGGTGTTTTGTTGTGGCTCAGGTATGATCACAGCTGTGGGTCTGTCCAACCTGCAGCTGGTAGATCTGAACTCCTCCAGAAATCTCTTTGTTCTTGGGTTCTCCATGTTCTTTGGCCTCACTCTGCCAACATACCTGGATGCACACCCCAACGTCATCAGTACAGGTGAGCAGGTGTGTGTATTTAGATAATAAAGGTAATGAGAGGTCTCACATGTTGTTGGCATCATTTAAAACTCATTGTTGATATTTTAGTATAAAAGTGTTGTTTTTGTGAGGTGAAATGATTCTTGAACAAACAACTTCAACTATTTAAAAAAACAAGAATTTACTTTGGATTTTATCCTGTTAACAAAAGGTCAGAATTATACATACAGGTTCAGGTGTAATCAAGTGGGCTGAAGGCTTGATAGTTATCAGGATTGACTGCAGCTTCTTGTTTTCTTTCTGCCAGCATAAAAAGATTTGTTTGGCAGCACTCATCTGTCTTTCTCAGATAAGGAAACTTGTGTCCACCAGTGTCCCTGTCCACCATGCTCGCTATTCACTAGTGTCCCTGTTCACAAGTGTTTCTGTCCACTAGTGTCCTTGTCCACCAATGTTCCTGTCCACCAAAACCACTGTCCACCAGTGTCTCTGTCTACCAGTGTTCCTGTTTACAAGTGTCCCTGTCCTTTAATCCATTAAGAAACTGCTTATAGTCCAAGAAACCCACCGACTGGTTTGGTTTTTGGTTTCTCTGACTGAATCTGTTCTGATCCATTTTATGTTCAGGTCTGGCAGAACTGGATCAGATTCTGACGGTTCTTCTGTCCACCGAGATGTTTGTTGGAGGCTTTCTGGCCTTTTGCCTCGACAACACAATACCAGGTAACATATGAAAAATCTCAGGACCCATTCTCCACAGTCAAAGTGAACCAGAACCAGTATGGTTTTATGGTTTTAATCTTTTTTGGGGATAAGTTGAAATACTTTGTCCATCAGACTTGGGACACTTATGCAATGAAAGCATTCTTATTATTTTTGACGTGTTTACTGTAATGTCAAACATCCAACAGCTCAGTGAGGACAAAGCTGACTTCTGACAGTAATATGTCTTCCAGTAAAGAAGCAAGACAAAGTACTGCAAACAACCAAAACATGGAGAAGATGTTGTCCACGTCCACATTATTTCCACAGCAGACAAGTATCAAATGACTGCAAAAGCCAGAAAAAACAAAACATGTATGACCAGTTGTCCACATGGACACACCTCCCAGAGCAGACGTGAATGATTGCGAACAGCTGAAACAGATAAAACATGTATGAGTACTTAGTCCATGCTTAATAATCCAGGTATACAATTCAACTTTTTTCAGTTAGGTCATCTAGACAGTTTCTTTTTTTGTGCTGAAATGTTTCACCTTCGATCCGGAAGGCTTCCTCAGTCAAGAAAACACACAACACAAAACTGATTCTTCCCCCAACAGCTTACTCCAAAGTGGAACAAACCATTTATGTTGGTGCTAAGATGGTCTCTTTGGCACGCTCCCTCCTCCATTGCTGGCCCTCTTCCTTGTTGACAGTAGCAACATGAAACAGATCAGCAGCAACATGAAACAAATCAGCAGCAACATGATGTGATTTGTTCACAGTGATTATTCTGGTTAGAGATTCATGAGTCTAACAGCCTCAGGGTATAAACTGTTTCTCAGTCTAGTGGTTCTACACTTAATGCTCCTCAACCTCCTTCCTGGGGGGAGCGGGGCAAAAAATGTGTGTGCTGGGTGAGTGGGGTCCTTCATTATGCAGGTGGCTCTCTTCCTGCATCTGGAGGTGTAGATGTCTGTGATGGTGGGGAGACTGACTCCAACATCTTCTGTGAAGCCTTCACCACTATCTGCAAAGCTTTTCTTTCTGCAGCTGTGCAGCCTCCATGCCACACATTGATGCTGGAGCACAGGATGCTCTCCACTGCACACCTGTAGAAGGAGGTGAGGACTGAGCTTCCCAGACCAGCTCGTCTCAGCCGTCTGAGGAAGTAGAGTCTCTGATGAGCTTTCTTGATCAGGCTGGTGGTGTTGTTGCTCCAGCTGATGTTGTCGTTCAGGTGCACACCCAAGTACTTGTAGCTGGAGACCACTTCCACTGCAGATCCTCTTATATTCGGGGGGGGGGGGGGGGGGAGGTGTGTTTATTCCTTCTGAAGTCCACAACCATCTCGAAGGAAAGATGGCGGCGCGTGCACACGCTGCGGCTACACTCTCTCCCGAGAATGCAGCTTTTTCATGTGTTTTTTCCTGTAAATCGCAGTATTTTTGTACGTCTCCGTCGTGCGCTCACGTCTTGAAGCGCATATACAGCCGTGAATCGCTGCTTGATGTCGGCAAAAGCTCACTTTTCGAGCTTAGCTCTGAACTTCGAGAGGGGCTGCGTGCTAGCGGCTTGCTCAGAACTCCGGCTCCACCACCGTCCCCCTCCGCTGCGCTGCGCCCACAATGGAAGCGCCACAAGCGGAACGAGAGGCTGCAGAAGAGGGGTAAGCGCGGAGGTATAAGAGCGAGGCTAGCTGCTAGCCCACACAAGCCAGCCATCCCCTCCATGATACTGGCCAACGTACGCTCTCTGGACAACAAACTGGATGACATCCGCTTACTTCAGTCAACTCAGAAGACCGTGAGGGACTGTTGTGTTTATGTTTTCACGGAAACTTGGCTTAAAGACAACATCCCGGACCACGCAGTTCAGCTCGAGCGGCGGACATGCTACCGAGCGGACCGAGTCCTCACTGAAGGTAAAACACGCGGCGGCTGACTTTGTGTTTACATTAGTGATGCTTGGTGTCGCAACGCTGTTGTGGTCTGCAAGTACTGCTCACCGGTGGTGGAACTGATGATTATAAAGTGCAGACCGTTTTATCTACCGAGGGAGTTCTCAGCTGTGCTGATAGCTGCTGTTTATCTGCCTCCGAGCTCCGCTAACATCAGGAGCGAAGCGCTGAACGAACTATATCAGAACATCAGTGAGCAGCAGACAGCCCACCCGGATGCTTTTCTCATCCTGGCTGGTGATTTCAACCATGCAGAACCAAAGAGTGTGTTTTCTGGACTTTATAAACATATAGACTTTCCAACACGAGGCAATAACACGCTGGATCAGGTCTTCACCACACGGAGAGGAGCTTACAAAGCCCGGGCCCTCCCCCACCTTGGTGCTTCTGACCATCTGACTGTGATGTTAATGCCAGCATTCAGACCACTGGTTAAAGTCAACAAACCAGTTCTGAAGCAGATACAAGTGTGGCCTGAGGGCTCATCTGAGGCACTCCAGGACTGTTTTAGCACCACGGACTGGAATGTGTTTAAAATGGCTGCTACTCACAACAACTTCACTGACATTCAGGAGTACACAGAAACTGTCTCTGCTTATATCACAAAGTGCATTGATGATGTAACTGTCCTGAAGACCATCACCATCCGTGCTAATCAGAAGCCATGGCTGACAGGAGAGGTCCACAAGCTGCTGAAGGCTAGGAATGCTGCCTTCGCCGCTGGAGACCAGGCAGGCCTGAAGACAGCTAGGGCCAACCTGTCCAGAGGCATTAAAAAAGCTAAGAGGCAGCACTCCAAGAAAATAGCCCAACACTTCAAGGACAGCAGAGACTCTCGGAGCCTGTGGCAGGGAATTCAGTCCATTACAGACTACAAACCCTCTCCACAGACCTGTGACAGCACCCCCTCCCTGCTGAATGACCTGAACAGGTTCTTCGCTCGGTTTGAGGCACAGAATGGCACACCTGCACAAAAAGCCACCCCCCCTCCTGGAGACCAGGTGATCACACTGTCCCCGGACAAGGTGAGGAGAGCATTCAGCAAGATCAACGCTCGGAAAGCTCCTGGTCCCGACAACATACCTGGTCGCGTGCTGAAGGACTGCGCTGGCGAATTAGCAGAGGTGTACTCTGACATCTTCAACACCTCACTGAGCCAGGCTGTGGTCCCCACGTGCTTCAAAACCACCACCATAATCCCTGTCCCCAAGAAAACGTCTCCCTCCTGCTTCAACGACTACCGCCCGGTTGCACTCACTTCCATCCTCATGAAGTGCTTCGAGCGACTAGTCATGCAACACATTAGGTCCTCCCTCCCCCCCTCCCTGGACCCCTACCAGTTTGCATATCGGTCAAACCGCTCGACTGATGATGCCGTCGCCACTGCTCTTCATTCAGCCCTCACACATTTGGACAAGAAAGACACCTATGTCAGAATGCTCTTCACCGACTTCAGTTCTGCATTCAACACAATCATTCCACAACAACTCATCTGGAAACTGGACAGTCTGGGTCTGAACACATCACTGTGCAACTGGCTGCTTGACTTCCTTACCGGAAGACCACAGGCAGTACGGGTTGGCAGCAACACATCCAGCATCATCACTCTGAACACGGGGGCCCCACAAGGATGTGTGCTGAGCCCCCTTCTGTTCACTCTACTAACCTACGACTGCTCTCCATCACACCCCTCCAACCTCTTCATCAAGTTTGCGGACGACACGACTGTGGTAGGCCTCATCAGCAACAACGATGAGTCACTCTACAGGAGCGAGGTGAGCCGGCTGGTCTCCTGGTGCAAACGCAACAATCTCTTGCTGAACACAGAGAAGACCAAGGAGATTGTTGTGGACTTCAGGAGAACACAGACAAAACATGCTCCACTATCCATCAACGGTGTTGTTGTGGAAAGGGTGAGCAGCACCAAGTTCCTGGGTGTGCACATCTCTGAGGACCTCTCCTGGACCATCAACACAGCAGCAGTGGCCAAAAAGGCTCACCAACGGCTCTACTTCCTCCGCAAGCTGAGAAGAGCGAGAGCCCCCACCCCCATCATGACAACCTTCTACAGGGGGGCCATCGAGAGCATCCTGATGAGCTGCTCCACTGTGTGGTACGGGGCCTGCACAGCATCCTGCCGCAAATCCCTCCAGCGGATCGTGAGGACAGCTGAGAAGATCATTGGCACCTCTCTCCCCTGCCTTCAGGACCTCCACAGCTCTCGCCTCAGAAGTAAAGCCCTCTGCTGGGTGGGAGATCTTGACCACCCGCTACACTGCTTCTTCAACCTGCTGCCATTAGGGCGGAGACTGCGTAGCCTCAGTTCTAGGACCAGCAG